CTTCTAGAGAAAGACAACATGCGTGTGGACATGCGCACAAACAAATTTCGTTGTTTCATGCAAGGAAGAAAAGTCGGGCTTTACTGCCCCTGAACGGAGAATAAAATCGAAGTTTACGTGGAGGTACGACAAAAACAAACTTTTTTCCACAAGTTTTGCTAATATTTTTATGTATGTATATATATATATAAAAATTATCTTTATGAGAATAATAATCAGTGTATTGAAACATTTTTAAGTATAAAGGCACAGGGAAAAAATTTTTTTTGAAAAAATAAACAAAATGTAAAGGTAAAATTTACTAAGCAGCCTGGTAAAATCTCAAATATGAGTTAATTTTACCTAGTAATTAATGGTCAATTTTAGCCACACATATCTATTAAAATTTTCATTGCGTTTAAAAGATATTTTTTACCGTCATTTTAAATTAAATTTTCGGTAATTATTTAGTTTAGATTGCATACGCCCGATTTCCTTGAAGTTTTAGTATGTTGTAGAGAAAATTATGCTGATTGATTTGATATATATATGGGGCGCGGAAAACATTCCTTCGCATACTTTTTCAAGGTTGAAATTTCGATAATAACGTGCATTAGATTTTGTCTCAGTAACACTTTATTCGATCATAATGATGTCATCATGCAAGAATTTGCACAACACATCGATTTCTTTGTTTACATTTTTTTGTTATTGTATGCTTCTATGATTTGCTGAATTTTGTAGATCCTGTAACCAAAGCTCACACTCAAAATATTGAGCGACTTTGGCGAGATGTTCGTGATAACATACCACGTTATGGAAAAGTAGATCTCATTATCGTTAGTATTTTGGGGAATTTTTATTTAAAAGACATTATTCATATTCAAATAGAATTAAAGCATTTATGAAAGAAATTTCACGATTGAGGGTGGGGGGTTAAAAAGCTGGTCTAAATTTTTAACAGCCCCCCACCCTCAATCCTTTCCAATATCAAGTATTTGCAAAATACCAATTATATATATATTCTTATTCAGCATGAAAAACTGTATAACACACTAAAATTTCAAGGAAATCGAGCGTATGCAACCTAAACTAAATAATTACCGAAAACTTTCTCAGTGCAGATAATTCAACAATTGTGTTAAAAATTACCTAAAACTTCAGAATTTTTGGGTAATTTTCATCGCAACTTTTGATTTGTCTCCGCTTTGCCTAAGCCTCTTTGGTAACTATCAATAAATTATTTTTTAAATGTAGTTGGTGATATTTATTACCGTTCAAGGTACCCGTACGGAAAAAAATTTACTCGGAATGTTTAGAATTTGCCGGATATATATGAGGGAAGGATAGATAAAGTAGAACGCGGGAGCAAAGTAAAACGCTCGAGAAAATGTAATAACTTATTAAAATAAATTTAAAAACGCCTATTGCACTTTTTTTTAAATCAATGTTTCAATTTATTAGCAACATTGACTCATACTTATACTGTAAATCCATATAAATTAAAAAAATGCACACCAAGTGTGGTTAATATTAAAACTTCATGTATAGTCTAATATTGAACTAAGATTGAGTATGTTGACACAATGTTCGACAAATAATATGCTAATTTTATTTTCTACTGGGATGGTTTGTAATGTACAGAATTAATATTAATCGAAACGAAACCATAAAACTTTTTTTGTGTATAATAATTTTCAAAAGTGCCAAGAAATAATTATACAATTATGTTTTTATTCAAACAAAATAAAGTACATATTTATTATGGATAGGTAAGTGAGTTTCCAAAGACATAATGGAATAATCAAAATCCAAACTTGAGATATTTGAATTTTAATGAGGTGTCTAACTCATGAGAGCCACAAGGAAGTCAAGAGATCAAGATAATAATATTATTAAGACTATACTAATTATGATAGTTAAAACAGAATAGCTTGTTTTTATTACTATTCCAACCTTCATTATATGTATTATTCCTACTTTTCAATCAAGTTTGTCTTATGAATAATATAGCTGTTTGGATCTAGACATGTACCCGAAAATAGCCTACTCTTGATAGATACTAAACTAAGTTATAATTGAATTACAAATAATAAGTTGGAGTAATAAGCACCTTTAGAAGTTGTAGATGCAAATGAGTTCACGAAAGGTTAAAATTTCTTACTTGACTCAAGATTAATAATCATCATGGTTAAAGTTGACAACTTTAACCCTTGGATATTCAAACAATCAATCATAAATACATCATAGATTTAAAATCATTAATTAGAGAAAAAGTATAAAATTTTAAAAAATGAATATAAATTTCATCTGTAGAAATTAAAATATAATTTTAATTTGATGAAATTTTGCTCAAAATATAAAATTTTTTATAAACTTTTATATTTTAAAATTAAATTAGTTCTTTAACATTAACGATAAACTGAAAGTATTAGATCAAGATAAATATCTGGGGCTCTTAGTTATGATAAAGTACAGAATTTTTGCATTTAATCTGATACGAGTAATTAAGCCAGATTGTCAAAGCACTAATAAAATCCAACAACCTCATACTATTTAATTATTCAAATGAATTTGATTTTTATTCATTATAAGTCATTTATTTGAGCTTGAGTAATAATAAAATTGAATAAAAATTGATTAATTCAACTTATTAAATTTGAATCATAATTCAAAATTTATAAAATATATAATTGACCGGCTAAACTATAAATTTTTAATGTTCACAATTGAAGACTGAAAGTTGTTAAATATTGATACCTAAACGTAATTTTTAATCAAATTTTTCTTCTTAACGTTATTGAGGATGGTTACTTCGTAGTATTCATAATGTTTCTTGACATTTTTAATTCAACCCACTCTCGAAAAAAACTAAACAATAAATTTGACCATATTTTACATATTGGAGAGTTTTTCAAAAATTTTCAATTATTATTCATATCATATCAACATATCTTTGTAGTCTTTATGATTTAAAGCTGAAATTTCGTAACAAAATGTTTCTCTTCAATTTATTCTAGATCAATTCCCTTAACATGGTAAGACAAAATAACAACTAATTTCTTCTAGTTAAATAACTGTGAACAATTTTGTATTTAATTTCTACAAATCATATTTATCTTGATATAACAAATAAAACAATATTATAATTGACAAATAATGATGAGTTCCTACATTGTTAGTTGAATCAATCTCTGTAGGAAGCAAAACTAACCTATTTCAGATCTAACAAAAGTCCAAAGATGGCCGGACTGATCCAGTGTTGAAGCAAGAATGAACCACCACTTTTTTATGTGCGTGGGATATTAAAAACAATGAATACATATAATATAAAAGCTTGGAGCACTGAATGTGCGGTATAAAAGAATTATTAACGATAGACCACTAAAATTAGAAGACATTCATCATAAAACCTCACCATTACAGCTAATGAAAAAATTAATTTATTGGAAATATTGAAAATTTATAAAGCAATGACAGATTTGATTTTTCGATTTAAATTGCAATAGTCTGATTGGTTGATGTCATAAAAAAGGTAAACTCATACCATATGGAATACTGCCCTACAACATTGTCCATGAAGCGAATTAGGATTAATCGCATTACCTGGTTCGATCCTGAGGCATCGGGAATCGAGGCTATCAAACATGTATGCGTGTGTAATATCTACATATGTGAGTGCTTAACTCGACAGTTGAGCCTTGATAATGACCCTCCCCTGCTTGACATAATCGTCCAGGGACAACAATTATTAACGAAAATGTCAGTTGTATTATGCGAAATCATAATTGTGGCTTATCAACGTATTAAACAATGATTATTAAATTTAGAACAATTATAACCGATCATAGTTTCAGTTCACTGAACTAAATCCTAAATTGCTTCATACAAACAATTTATCGATCGAAATACTCGAGAATAAAATCAATAATTAATTCTATAACAAAAACATTGTCATTCATGAAGTTGTTAATAGAAACATTGAGCTGTCTATTTTGAAATATACATTAATAAACTCAGGTCACATAACTTGACCATTGATTTACTTTTTTATTTATCGAGTAATGATTGAAATAACATGAAGTTAAAGTATTTTTCTAACGGAAATATTTGCTCAGATAATTTTGAAACAAACAATTTGATCATTACTTAAAATAACAGAAGATTGCATGCTATCATGATTTCCATTCATTCATTCCTTAAAAAACTCAAAATAAATATTTCATCCCGGTCAATTTTATAATCTAATGCTATGATTATTATTTTACCAAACTGATAGATAAATGTCTCGAAAAAACACAATTTGTTCTTTCGATTTGTGTAATCGAAATATTATCTCTAGCAAGTTTATTTTTTTTGCTCTGATAAATTTTATTTCGCTGAAATATTTTAAAACATAAATTGACTAAACAGATATGTTATCTGAAAAAATTTATTATTCATTTAAAGTAAAGCTCTATTCGATAATTTGTGATTGTTAATAAACCAGACATTTGGTCTTATCATAAAATCAATCTAAAAAATATTTCTTGAGGCAGTTTATTCCTCGTAAAAATGATTTCCCTCGTATATGTTTAAAACGTTGCCAGCAGTAAATTATGATACGTATCAGATTTATCGCCTGCGGATAAGTGCTTTCAGTCTTTAAAGGATATTTGGACCAAAGAAACGTTCTAAGTTTCAAAGCAGCAATACAAAAAATAGACAAGAAGGAAGAATAAAGTGCAAACGAACCAACTAGAGGGAAAGAAAAAGAAGGTTGTCAGGAAAAAAAGAAGGGTGAAATGAAAAACCACCGGAAACTCTTCGTAGAGCAGACGGATTACCTCCAAGCAAAGCTCTACCTTATTTTATTTGATTCCTTTTCAAGTAAGTAAACGAGAAGAGAGATGCAATCGGAAATCTTCGGTAACTCCCAGTAGAAATGAAAGATCAAGGTATTTGGAATTCGTGTTTCATTCGGCAGTTTTTGAGAAAAGGAGTTTAAGCGAATTACTGACGAATCCTTGCTGTATCAAGACTTCAGCCAACTCTGCTACAAAGTAAATGAGCGATTAAAAGATTCGTTGGGCTGATCAAATCATTAGTGTTACTACTTGTAATAATTTGCTTCTCAATGTATCTACCTCATTTTGTACGTGTTTATTTGTAAATTTAGTTTCATTAAATTTTTGAATATTTTTGAAATTAATACGTGATAATTTTATTCACTGAAAAATAATAAAAAATAAAAAAAATAATAATAATAATAATTGTTTTACAAACATCTCAGGATTCGGAGAGAACCAAGGATGACTGCCCTCTGCATACGAGCCGCGAGAATCTCAGCCTGACTACGGCAAAATTGTAAAAATTTTGACTGAACGGCTGCAGCCCCGGCTCACCCTCAAACCTGAGGGAGTCGGGTATCTGCAGGATAATCCCGTCTGGTCAGGCCCCAGGTGGATCGGAGCCCTGGGATCCCTAGCCAGACACCTTTGACGAATCGCAAGATGATAATAATAATAGTCAAAAAATAAATTAACAGAGTAGAAAATACTGAATTAGTAAAATATTAATTCATATTCATTACATTTATGGCAGTTAATTAATTTATTTTCAATGAAGAGATTAGCACGGAGTAAATTGATTTAATTGATGGACTAAAAAAATAATAATAAATGATTGAATAATCTCTGTGAAAAATATCTATCTAATTTTTTTATCTAAAAATTTGATAGATTTGGGCCCATAAACAATTTAAATTTAAGCGGAAGAAATTTTACGTTGGCTACGATGAAGACTATCGAATTTAGTTATACAATCTAATCTAAAGATAATTTTTTGAAACCGTATTTCTTCTCAACTACTATTATATACATATATATATATATATATATATATTTATAAAGGACGAAAATCCACTTTAAGCAACAATAAAGTTAATTTATATCCTGAGGTTCGATTTAAGCACCAAAATATATCGCCCTACGTGAAGTGACTGTTCTAATTAGCTGTGCTAGAATCTATTTATTCGGAAGTAAATGATGTTCTCATGAAAGAGAGATTTATATAAGTGTGTATGCAAATCAATATGTTTCCAACGATAAATTATTGGGTTAAATTATTGATTTTTAAAAAATTAATTACAATTTCATTGGTGACAAAATTATTTAAATGATTTTGATATAATGATGTGCTAAACTCCTTTTGATTCATTTCTTTTCATAAACAATAAAATTCGAATACTAAATCATGTGTAGAAGATGTTAGGAAGGGTAGAATATATTCACGAAATTTCAATTTATTCATGTAGGTTCAAAACTTTTATCCCATTACAGAGCAGGAAGTCAACAATTTCCATGTATTCAACAGAGTTTTAATATATTCTGTATAGTTTGATCTTGATGTTGAATAATAATAGAGAACTTTAGTAATCTTAAAATTGTAAACAATCCCATCTTAACAAAAATTTCAATCATTAATAAATAAGCTATTTACATAAAAGTGAAGTATTATACAAAAAAATATTTAAATTATAATAGAATTTCTATTCATTCTGATTTCTGTTCACCCTTGAAAATGATGATCATCAAATTGGCACAAATAAATAATATATGGCCAATATTTAGGTGCAGATTTTAACTCTCACAGTACAAATCGTTGGTTTATATTCAGTCACACGTTTTGAACACAACCAAATTAATAATTTCTGGGCTATTAACATTATAATAAAAGTAATATAATTAATATAAACAAGCACAATTAATTATTTACATGATCACTTGACAAAATTGAATATTGATTATTTTCAAGTTAACATTCGTCAAAGATCATAAATTAATTGATTATTCCAATAAAACGCTCTGACAAATTGTTGTATGAAATATTGTGATAATTAATTACTGAAAATTATTTAAACTTAATATCTTCATGATTTATTTGAAAATATTTTCATCTTTAAATGAGTTCGGCTCTAGTCGTCAATAGAGACAGACGTGTGTGTGCCCAGCTAACTAGTAAATAATAAAGTAAAAGTAACGTGAAAAAGAGTGATAAATGTGAAGTGCGGTGCGTTGTGACCAACGCGTCACAAAGTACTGAGAAATGCACGAAGATAGTTGTGGAGGAGAATTAAGCATTATGGAAAAAATAAACCAGCTAAGGGAAAACGGGGTATCATCCTCTGTACAGCAAAATTCCCAAGGATCTGCTCACCCACAAAACTACCACACAAAACAAGCAACACCATGAACGATGGACGCTAAGGCGTCATCATAACACGCATGGAAGTGTCTAATGCACCCAGCACTAACGATCCTAATCGCTCACCATCGTGGCAAGCACCGCGAAGGAAACGCCAAAGAAAAAACTCAAACAACAACGTAATTGTGAGTGAAGATGAGAACCCCGGCATCTGTACAAGCAATAGGTACTCAGTCTTGAGCCAAGGTAACGACATTGGTACTAATCCCATTAACACAGCAGCCAATGTAAATAACAGCGTGCTAAAGCCCCCTCCTATCTTCATACCTGATGTCAAATCAATAGATGAACTAATCAAATCACTGAACAAAGTCATCAAAACAGAGGACTACAAGTACAAAATGATCGACAGTAATGGACAGCTAAAACTGATGGCTAAAGACGATACTACATACAGAAAAATCGTACACTAACTAGACGAATCAAGAGCACTCTACCATACCTACCAGCTCAAATCGCAAAGAGCCTACAGGGTGGTTATAAGATCTCTCCATCCCTCAACTTCTCCCGATGAAATCAAACGAGAGCTAGAAAAACATAGCCAAAAAGTACACAACGTCATGAACATACGCCACAGGAAAACAAAAACACCCCTTCCTCTCTTCTTCGTGGACCTCGAATTGGACCAAAACAATAAAGAAGTATATAAGATCGACCTGCTATTAAATTCCAGAATACAAATTAAACCACCAAGAAAAAAAACGAGATAGTACAGATAGCCGGTATCAAAGATACGGGCATACCGAAACATATTGTAGAAGGGAATTCAGGTGCGTCAAATGTGGAGGAGAACACCGCTCCGAAACTTGCATGAAAGCCAAAAGCACCCCCGCAACCTGTGCACTGTGCGAAGGCAGCCACACAGCAAACTACAAAGGTTGCAAGATATATAAAGAAGTGCTTGAAAAAAAAAACTTTGGCACACAAAAATCACACTGGCATAGATCAAGGGTAAACCACAATCAAGACACAGGTAATCACCAACCAACAGCAACTTACACGCCAATGACACCTAACAATACCCATAGCTACGAACAAGCCGTAAGAGGAAACACGCACATAAATAACTTAAACCAGCCTCATACACCAACATCAATGGAAAAGATACTAACAGAATTCAAAACAATCCTCAGCCAACAAACGGAGCTTCTAAACACTCTAGTCAAACTATTGACAACGGTATTAACGCAGTCTCAGAAATCGAAATGACCCCATTCTACCATATTGTAATATGGAACGCTAACGAATTGATCCAACACAACCAAGACTTGTCTACATATCTCCAAATAAATAAAATAGATATAATGCTAATCGCAGAAACGCATTTCACCACGAAAAGCTACATAAAAGTCCAAGGATATAGAACGTACAGTACCCAACACCCCGACGGAACTGCCCATGGAGGCACGGCTGTAATTATAAGAAACTCTATTAAACATTATGAACACTCAAAATACTCAAAAGAGCACTTGCAAGCGACGTCTGTGATGGTAGAAGACTGGCAACAAGGGCCCATAGTCGTTTCAGCTATATATTGCCCCCCAAGACACAATATAAAGAAAGAAGACTCCCAACATTTCTTCGATACACTTGGAGATCGCTACATTGCAGGAGGAGACTATAACGCAAAGAACACTCACTAGGGCTCCAGATTAACAACAACAAAAGGGAAAGAACTACTCAAGGCCATGTGGGACAATAACTGTGACTTCTTATCTACGAGGCAGCCAACATACTGGCCAACAGACACAAATAAGATACCAGACTTGTTGGATTTCTTCATCATTAAAGGAATCAACAAGAACTACACGCTGATAGAACCTAGTCTAGATCTCTCATCTGACCATACACCAGTCAAGCTCACATTGAGCTCTGGAGTGATCCACAGGAAAAAAAATACCCAACTCTACAACAATAAGACGAACTGGGAAGCATTCAGAGAGAAAGTCGACCAGCAAATCAAGTTAAACAGCTCTCTCAAAAAAATCGAAGAAGCAGCCAAAAACCTTACCCAACTAATACAAGACTCGATACGAGCAGCCACTCCACCAGATGATGATGAAAAAAACATAATCAATTATCCAACAGAAATTAAAACAAAAATTGCCGAGAGGAGGAAGCTCAGAAAACGCTGGCAGTTAAGCAGAAATCCAGTAGATAAAAAGGAGTTTAACCATGCGTCCCAAGAGCTCAAAAAAACAATAAAAACTTTTACAAATGAGACCATCGAGTACAATCTCTTCCAGTTAACAAACACAGTGGAAACTGACTACTTGCTCTGGAAAGTGACTAAGAGGCTAAGACAGCCACAACAACAATCTCCTCCTGTAAGGAAGAGCAATGGACAATGGGCCAGAAGTGATGAAGACAAAACAGAAGTATTTGATGAACATCTAGCCAAAGTGTTCACACCACTACCAACGGCCATAGAACACGTAGAGGTAACAGAGTTCCTCACCAGCCCCCTACCCATGTTACTGGTACAAAAATCCTAAAAGAAATATAAAAAAAATGCATAGTACACATAACTTCTCTATTTAATGCTGTAATAAGGATACAACACATACCAGATCATTATGATAGCTAAGCCAGAAAAACCGCCAAACGACGCAACTTCATACAGACCAATTAGCCTGCTGCCCACCATCTCCAAGCTGTTCGAAAAACTCCTACTAGTAAGAATCAAACCAGCATTGGAGGAGGGAGAATTGATTCCAGATCATCAATTTGGATTCAGGAACAAGCACTCCACAATCGAGCAAGTCCATCGAGTCTTTAATACATTCAGCAGGCCTTC